ATTCTAATTAAGTGGTAGAGCCGCCACAAACCCGAGACATCACTCTCAGACGTCTTAGACACTTTCTAGAGCTTTGGAGAAGCTTTCTCTTGAGTTCTAGTGATCGGAATATCGATTCCAAGTCTAGGACATCGTTTTCTCTTCATAAATCCTAGCAGATACGTTCCAAACTGTTGGAATTCATCCCGCCGGTGTGGATACGTGTAGAGGAGTTGTGCTTTCAACTCTTGGTGATTAAAACAGGCCCTGGATCGATTGATACTTCCAGATCTTGAAAGAACGAGGTAAGTATTCGAATCCCACGACGATATACACGATTGTTCGGGTTATTGCACAATTGGTTTTGTGTGACGTTTGGCTAGGTTTAGATCTTTCCTTCCGCTGCGTGAAACCTAGAATCCAAACCCTAGATCGATGAGATCGCATGCTAGGAACCCGAAGGGAACCCCAACATGAACCTCAAAGACCTATAGAAAGAAGTGGAAGGGGATGCTGCTTTGGCCGAGATCATTTCGAAGCTCAAAAATCAGACCGATGCTCCCATTGGATACCATCTCCGATAAGGCTTACTCAAGACTTTGAAGCGTACTCAATCCTTATTCTTTTGAGATGGTATGAAATCTGTCATTCAGCGTTATGTGGCACATTGTTTGACTTGTCAATAGCAGAAGTACTCTACTTTGGCACCCGCAGGTTTGCTTCAACCTTTGCCCATTCCGGACAAGATTTGGGATGACTTGTCCATGGATTTTATTGAAGGTTTGCCTCGTTCCTTGGGTCATGATGTCATTATGGTGGTGGTTGATCGTTTGAGTAAATATAGTCACTTTGTGTTGCTTCGACATCCATTTTCGGCTTTTGATGTGGCTCAAGTTTTCATCAAGGAGATTGTACGCCTTCATGGGTTTCCTCGTTCGATTGTATCCGATCGGGATAGAATCTTCCTTAGCCATTTTTGGAAGGAACTTTTCCGGTTGGTGGGGACCAAACTCCGGTTTAGTACGACCTTTCACCCGCAAACGGATGGTCAAACCAAGGTTGTGAACCGCTGTTTGGAGACCTATCTACGATGCTATGCTAGTAGTCATCCTCGTCGTTGGGCGAAGTTTTTACCATAGGCAGAATTTTGGTTTAATTCCTCCTACCATACATAACTCAAGACTACGCCTTTCCATGTCACCTATGGATGGGAACCGCCGATGCATCTGCATTTTGAACTAGGATCTACAACTAATTTTGAATTGGAGAAGGATCTACAAGAGAGGGATGCCATGCTGAATGAATTGCGTGATAATCTGTCAAAAGCCCAACACCGTAAAGTTATATGCTGATTCTTCGCGTCGGGAAGTGTCTTTCCAGGTTGGTGATTGGGTTTACTTGAAGCTCAGACCTTACAGGCAGCAATCTGTGGCGAAGAGGCTGTATCAGAAGTTAGCTGCCCATTTTTTCGGTCCGTTCGAGATTTTGGAACGCATCGGAAAAGTGGCTTTATCGCCTCAAGTTACCGGAGGATGCGAAGATACATTCGGTTTTCCATGTTTCATAATTAAAATTGGCAATCGACGACAATTTCAAGCAAACATCGTTACCGAAACATCTCAATGCAGACTTGGAGCTAAAGCTGGAGCCAAAAAACCTGCTAAATTATCGTTATTCTGCTCAGGGATTTCTGGAAGTTCTCATCGAATGGGCTGATCAACCGCTACATGAGGCTTCGTGGGATGTTGCTGAAACTTTCGTTGAGCAATTTCCTGAGTTTGAGCTTGGGGACAAGCTCCGTCTGCAAGGGAGGGGTATTGATAGACCCTTTCGCATATATATCATGAAGAGCAGACAAGGGCAGAGGAAGGAGAGCACAAAGGAGCATTAGGTGGCAAGAGCACTGAAGTGGTAGGGACAAAAAGTAAGGGAACAGATGGAATGTTGCAGCTTTTTATCATGATGGGTTCTTTTATTACTACCTTTTTTATGAACATTTTAGCTGGTCGAGTTTGTGATTGTCACCTCATAAGACATTATTGAGCGTGTGAGAATGAGTTTGGATTTTTTATGTAATGTTTTGGTGAATGTATTGAGGGGAGAGAGTGAGACATCTCTTTAATAAAGCTGTCAACTTGTTTCTGGGTTTTGAGTAATATAATTCTACAGTTTTCTTACCTTGTTCTTATCAAGAATCCACAAGAGTTGCAAGAGAAGACTCAAATAAAAAGAAAGGCACTTTAGAAGAGTCTGAATGATCAGAATGATTAAGCATAGTTGAAAATTGCTTATCATGAAATGGAAACACAGATTCATGAAAAATCACCTTTCGAGAAACAATAACAATGATCTTGTTTGCCGCAATGTCCAGAACTCGATAACTTTGCGTTATCGATTTTGAATTCGATTCAGGAAGAAGAAACAAAGCAAGATCAGCTGAGAATGAGAGAAGAAAGTCTGAAAGAGAGTTGAGATAATTTCAAATTTACTATTAAAGAACAAAATGCCGCCCTTTGTTTCTTATATACGAAACAGAACAACAAAATCAAAATAACTAAATCAGTAAACCAAATCTAAAATAAAAGCAAACCGAAATAAACCGAAACAATGAAAATACATCTTAAGATTTTTTGACTCATGATTTGCAGTGTTCGAACTGGTAGCTTTCATGGACAGGAGCTGTTTTCTCTGTTAATATTAGGGTTTTGTAGATAGATGATAATCCAAATACCGAGATTTTTTCCCCATCAAAAGTGTGAAATCGTTGTTTCTATGGATGTTCATCTAAATCCTTTCGTATACATAAAACGTTTTTTGGAACCATGTTCTGCCTTTTCTCCCTTTTCTAATATCAAAATCTTTAATTTACAATAATTCTCTTAATTAGGCTAGGCAAGGGACAGCAAATCCATATGGTTATCCCATATAAAGCAAGATAGAACAGATACCTATACATACATACATACGTACATATGTAACATATCTATATCTATCTATATATATATATGTTAATAATGGGTTTGTAGATAAGAATATTATTAGTTAATAACCGTGAGAAATTCAGGGTTTAGACAACTAATCAGTAACTAATCAAGTAAAGGAGAACCCCCCAAAACAGAAGTCTTCGGCCCCATAATTCTGCTCTGTATTCCCTCTGTCCGAAATCAGACCGTTTTGAGTTCCTTCCTATCAAATCCCTCCAGAAATTGTTCTCTTTTTCATTTTTAATCATCTCTTCCCCCTGAAGGAGAAAAAGAAAAAATCAAATCTTTTTGGTGCCCATTTGTGCAATCATCCAGAAAGGGAAATGGTGAGAGCCATGGAACAAGAACAAGAGAGCTACAAGTCGAGATTATTCCATTTCAAAGGCATGAACAACAACAACAACAATGACAACTCTTCGTCGAGGCACGTGAAGAGTTGGAGCTCAGATTGTGTAGTGAAGATGGATGGCGACGCCATCGATGATGGCATGATGATGTACAGGAGTAATCCGGGCAATGAAAGGCCGATCTTGCCGCCTAGTATTGCGTCTAGTCGCAGCGAAAAGACCGCTACTAACCCTCGGGTGGCTAAGGATGAGCCTTTGGTCACTTCTCTTGAAGCCATGGAAGCAGAGTTACAAGCAGGCAAGGCAACATCTCTGTTCATGTTCCTTTTCTGATCTGAAATGATTCACATTCTTTTCTGTCATGCCCTTGAATTGTTTGTTCAAGAACCAGGCAGATTTCATGTTACTGCATTTTCTGTTTGGGTTTCAGCCTTGGATCAGATGAAAGAACGGTTTGCGAAACTGCTTCTAGGCGAAGACATGTCAGGAGGAGGAAAGGGTGTTTCGTCGGCTCTGGCGTTATCAAACGCCATCACTAACCTCGCTGGTACGATTCTTAAATCTTTCTTTTTACGGTATCGACGATTCTTGATTTGAACATCTTCCTGATCTGTTTGAGATCTGCAGCCTCTGCGTTTGGAGAACAACGACGTCTCGAACCGATGCCAGCAGATAGAAAACTGAGGTGGAAACGAGAAATCGGATGGCTTCTCTCCGTTACCAATCATATAGTCGAATTCGCTCCGACCCAGCAGACAAACAAGGATGGATCTTCCATGGAGGTAAGGGACATTACCCTGATGCTTCTTCCCGTATGAACAATTTCATTAACACGATTCTGAATCTTGCATTTTTTTTCTAGATAATGACCACAAGACAACGGACCGATCTTCATGTAAACATCCCTGCACTTAAGAAGCTCGATACCATGCTCATCGTAAGATATACACGACTCTTTTTGTTCGATCCATGAGCCTATAGCAACGAAATCTAAGATCTGATCAGATGCCCTTCTTCTGCATTTTTTGCAGGATTGTCTCGATAAATTCATGGATCAGGATGAGTTCTATTACGTGTCGAGGGATTCGCCCGATTCCGGTAACGGTAAGGCGCCGAGGAATGATGAGAAATGGTGGTTACCGACGGTGAAAGTTCCTCCCAACGGCCTATCAGAAATGTCGAGAAGGTTTCTGCAGAAGCAGAAGGAATGTGTGAATCAAGTTCTTAAAGCTGCAATGGCCATAAATGCTCAGGTTTTATCTGAGATGGAGATTCCTGAAAGCTATATCGATTCTCTTCCCAAGGTACAGAAAACATATCAACAAACATTTCAAGATTCTTCCTTTTTCGGCCGAATCTTTTATCTTATCCTATCCCTTGCGGCTCCATGTTCGTGTTTTGATTTCTCTTCTTGTACGCAGAACGGGAGAGCCAGTCTCGGAGACTCGATATACAAAATGATAACACTAGAGATGTTTGATGCGGATCAGTTCTTGATCGAGATGGATTTATCGTCCGAGCACCGGATTCTTGATCTGAAAAACAGGATCGAGGCATCGATCATCATATGGAAGAGAAAGATGGTGCAAAAAGACATGAAATCTCCTTGGGGTTCGGCCGTAAGTTTGGAGAAGAGGGAACAGTTTGAAGAGCGAGCCGAAACTATATTGCTCCTTCTCAAACAAGCCTTTCCCGGGATCTCTCAGTCTGCACTCGAGATCAGCAAGATTCAGTTCAACAAAGTAAACTTTTCCTTACTTGAAAATATGAATTGACAGTTTAATAACAAGCTTTTCCTAAGTTTAAAAAGATATTAAAAATGATAGTTCTAACCCATTTTGATATTAAAACAGTAAGTTCACCCGAGATAACGAAATATACAAGAAAGACGCAAACATGCGGCTTAATCCGATTGTTATGCAGGATGTAGGGCTTGCGATATTGGAGAGTTACTCGAGAGTATTAGAGAGTTTAGCGCAGACGGTACTATCGAGAATAGAAGACGTGCTTAAGGCGGATCAGATAACACAAGACCCTTCGAACGCGGTATGCAAGAGACGTCTCGTCCTGGAGGATACCGAGAGGCACAAGGAAGAAAGCAACAGTTTCTACGACGAGATGCAAGCGAACAAGACGCTCTT